ATATATATATATATATATATATATATATATATATATATATATATATATATATATATACTCATTTTGTTTTATATAATGAACCCACACGGTCTGTTGATTATAAGGCATCAGTCCATTAACAAAACCTCAAATAAAGAAAATTAAAAACATTGAAAGTGGAAGTCTGGCAGTATTAACAGATCCACAGCTTTTTTAGAAATGGAATTACAAACTGACAGGGAAACATTGCTCTTCTTGTTTTCATGGGTGTCATGATCGCTACCCTGATAGCTGACCTAATTGCTCACTTCATTCACCTGCCCCAGCCTCCTCGGTTGCTAATTACCATTTATCTTAACCACCTGCTGCTTCATAAACGGCTCAGCCCATGTGGGCCAGATCATTCTTTTTCTTTTAGTTTGACTTTGATGCCTAAGTTCATGTTTTCATTCTCGGAGGTCAGTGGTTAAAGAGGGTTTCTTAGTATTGTCTTGGTGTTTCCTGATCATGACCTGGCTCTTGTCCAATGAGCATGCTTTGTTCCTGTTTTGGCTCAGTGGAGGGAGCTAATTTAAAGTTCCGCAGTTTTCCTGGTGTCGCGTCTTGTTCTGCCTCTCAACTACTGAGCCTACCTGTTTTCCTGGAACCCTGGATCTGTCTGTTCCTGTTCTGATCGGAACCCCTGACAATGTTTCGGACTCATGGATTTCAGAACCGTCCTGTTCTGAACTGTTTTCCCTACCTGGCCTGGATTCATGGCTGTTCACTGAGGCTGCTGCATCAGGGACACTCTGGAACGCTCCACACCACATCTTGGCAGTCCATTGGCTGGATCCTGCCTCACTCGAGAGGATGGACTGAACTGTTAGACCAGGTAAGTGACTCACATGTATAATCACCTTCCATCAGATTATTGTGGTCTCTTACCTGTGTTTGTCCCTAACCAGAGTGCCAGTGATAGGCGGTGCCCCACCTCCCCCCACAGCCGCTGCAGATCCACAGCTCCACGTTTTCAGCTCATTACAATGGGTGCCTCGGATGTTTCAGAAAGCTTCTAAATGTCAGTTTTTGACATAGTACTTAAAATGTTTTCTTATACAATTTTGCATCAATTAACCAAACAATATTGATTTTCCATTGGCGCAAATGTACATGATATCAATGATATAGCTGTAGTTACACAGCACTATTTAAGCATTTTTACCTAGAACGAAGTGTTTGATGAATAATTGCAGACTGCAGGTATTTATAGATTGGTTTTGAACAGCAACTAAAGCAGATGCTATGATTACTATGATTTTTACTGTAAATAATCATAAAACAGGTTTTTTAGTTCATTGCAAGGAAAGGATTGTCAATTTCAAACCAGTGTCTGCTCACAGCTGGATACCACTTCTCCTTCTTGTCCTGCACTTGAGAATCACAGCTGGGGCATCTGCTCCTTAAGAGCTCTGACAGCAGCTGCAGAAAGCACAAATTATGTTTCCCATATACTTTCTCTTCTGCGGGGAAAGAAAATACATTTCTGACCTCACATGGTAGACCTTTAACTTAAAGTTTTAATTACTCTTTCTCAAAGTTGGACAGAAAACAAGTTACTGGTATACAGGAAAGGATTACGCCTGATGCAGAAGTTAGTCTGAACCATATAAAGAGAGTGAGGGCATTTTACAGTATTGGAGCTTAAATAGAAGCAGAATATATTGAATTCCATCATGTGCTTTTTACTGAAAGCATTTCTGTGGGGAATGTTGTCATAATCTATGTTTCATACATCTGCATTTAAGTATATTGACGCCAATCTAACTGAAGCATTGCAAACACAAATTTTGTTTGTCATATATAGAATTTCCCTAAATATTTTCCATACCAGTTAGAAGAAGGGCAAAACAAACATTAAAACCCATAAGTATGTTCAAATCCTGTCAAATACTACATATTTCATTGTGTTTCATTCATTTTCTTCTGATTGTCCAAGCCAAAGCAATACATATATGTAAATGTAGAAAAATTAAAAAGCAGAAACTCTTCTACTTTATCAGTTGCAAGTTTTTTCCAGGGAGTGTATATTTCTAACAGTTTGGTGTTTCAACAGAATTGGACTTTAGTCTATTCTTTCTTTTAAGATGAAGCAGTTTTCTTTTTTTTTAATCATGCCACAAGCCCTCAATTTGATTTAAGGATCTTTAACTAAGATATTCTATTACTTAAACATGATATAATGATCTAAACATCCAGTTATAATACTAGAGCCATGTGCATTTTAATGCTGGGAGGTAAAATTTTAGCCCAGTCTTGAGCTTTTTAAATAATTTTAGTTCCAATTCATCTTCCCATCATGTGTGACAATTTGTGTTAATGTGTCCATACTGATGAAAAACAATAGTGTTTTCTGAGGGTAGGTTTTTTTGACACACAGCTGTGTAGTGCAAAATATTTTTTAATTTCTTTAAATGAATTAATAACCTTGCCGCAGTTCTGTCAAGGGCAAACTAATAGCCTTCCAAGCAGCAGATCATACCCCTTCATCTTTGGATCTATGCAGCAACACCACGTGCCTCTTGGCTACTGTTCTAATTAATGATTATATTGATTTGCCCTCTATTTAAAGGGGTAGGTTCACAGTTACAAATTGTAGATGTATTATTGCTCTATGACATGTAAAAAAAATCCAAATGGAATGGATAAAATTTTGTGGTTGTGATGCCACAAAGTGTGGTGCATTTAAAATTAATGAAGATTTTTGCAAGGAACAATGTAAAGCTGACTTAATTTACTTATTCATGCAACTGTAACCTAATTAGTTAAGTCAAAATCATATAGAGAACTCTTAGTTTGTTTTGAAGCCTTGACATCAAGTTTTTGGTACTGACTGTTTTCTTTATTGTAAAACCTTATTAATAAAAAGAACACACTGCTATCTCTGCCAGGATTTCTGTAGAAGAAAATGAAGCTTAATCTGTTTTTAATAGCCACCTGCAGAAGAAAAATGAAAATACTGTAATATCCGCTTGGGACAAGATGTTCTTTACTAATTTTCCAGACGTTGTAGTCAGTAGAAGAAGGCATTACCAAGTTGTGTTTCACTAGTACCTTAAAAGTCCCTCCCTATCAGTTTAATAAAAAATAAAAAATGCTCATTTAGCATCTTGATTTAGATACCCTAAAAAAGCCACAAAATTATCCACCAAGAGAAGCAACATGCACAATTTATTAATAAAAAAATCAACCAAAAAATGGATAATTTAAGGAAGTAAAATGCCAAAAGTGGCTGAGTTGACCAATATGTGTTAATGTTCCGTGTTCTAATGTTAGAAAGCACCTTAATCTCTGTTTTCCCTTATACTGCAGCTGATTGCAGAATATATTTTTTGGTGGTGACAAATTTTATGTCTTCAGCTGCATGAACACAGACTTAAAAATGACTGTAAGTCATAAATGTATAACCCTAAATTACTGCCAAGACATAAAGGTTTTTGGCACTGCTCCTATTGGTTTCACTCAGATTACCACTGCCAGACTTGTTTTATGTAGAAGTCCTTTTCCTCACTGTGTTTAATGTGGATAGATTCCAAGCAAGGCAGAAGCACAGATCACAAGACTGGTATGTTGCTAAAGACAGATTACAAATTGGAATATAAATTAGTAACAATCGTGGTAGATTTTAAAATGAAATCTGCTAAAAAGCTATTTTTTGTGTTCTGGATTATCTTCCAACAATTTAGGAATAGATACCCAGGGAATGGAAAATATAATCTTTTTGTTTGCTTTGAAATGTTTTTCAGAAGTTTATTCAAGTAAAGCATTTTTTTGTCTGATGCTTTTAGTCTTTATTTTATTTTAGAAATCTTTTGTTCCTTTAAAAGAATTTCCTCTTTGAACGCAAATCCATTAATGAAACTTTTTAGAAGCATGTTAGATATAAAGACTGATTATGTTATTGATTTAGCTGTTTTTGTTACTTTTTCATTGTCTTTCAGAAACAGAAATAGATTTTAAAACCATGTGCTTAATGAAAAAAAGT